AGAAGCCAGCAAGCCGCCTCCGAGTGTTCAGAGTCTCCTTTGGCCAGGTGTGAATCACGGCCTTGAACCAGAGTCATCTCAACAGAAGGTTCTTCTCGTTTCTGGAAGGTACCCGGCTCTCAGTCGCCCTCGGTTTCTTGTTGACCTAATTGTAACAACGTGGGAAGATGTGTTCTGAGTTCCAAACGAACAACTCAAAAACACATTTTGTCCTGCCAGCTCTGTCAATGCCAAAAACATGACGACCTCCTCATTCTTACTTTACAGCCTTCTTTTCCTCGTTCAAAACAAAGTAGAATGTGCTCTTTCATGGTTTCTTTGTGGCTCTAGGGATAATTTCAGGATCCCTCCCCTATTCTGGGCAGTGTCACCTGGCCCTCTACATGGCTTACGTATGAGAGGACAGAGTGAAGAGCATGGGGGAGGAAGCGAGGTCAGTGAGGTTTCCATGGCCAGAGGCGGATCTGAAAGGATTTGAGAACGTGAAAAAGAGCGGACTTGTGCCTGATCTATTAAACCAAACTACCAGCAGGCTGCTCGTAATCTCAAGGTTTACAGATAATCCTCATTAAAAAATTATCACGTACTCATAATCACTCAGTTACAAGTAACATGGCAAAATTGTGTTAAAACACTTAAAAGGCTAGATTTCAAAACTACTCAACTTTTATTAGAGTTTACAGATTTTTTTTCATCGGGACTTTAAACAGCACAAGAGGACGTGTTTAGAAGTAAGCCCTAACATCTGTTGAGCAGTGGTAGCTGACAAAAAATTTTTTTAAGTTTATTTGATTTGGAAAGGGTTTCAGGGGCTGACAGCTCAAGTGCACTTCATGTGTCCCAAAAAATATGGCTAAGTGTTTACCACATGGTTTGTTTCTAAGCAACTAAGCAAACATTCATTAAAAAAATATTTCAGACCCATGTGCTCCTGAGAACCACCTCCCACCCCAAGACAGACGTATCTGCTGGGAAACAGCTGCTGGCGCTGCAGACAGCAAGACCAGGGGAGGGATAGCCAGCCTGCAGGGACCTCACTGCCAGCAGGCCCTTGCTCCTGCCAGGAGCCAAGACCACAGAACTCTCCACCCACATGGGACAGCGGCAGCCAGGAACAGGGCAGCCTGGCACCTTTCTCCCCATTTTGTTCCCACCGTTCCTTGGAAAATTAGCTAAGAGCAGTTAGTTTTATAATCACAGGAGAAAAGGTCTGTGGACATTCTTAAGCTCACCTCCACTGACTGTAAAATCTTCCCCTCAATCCACGGGACAGTGGAGTCTCGTCCTGGGGAGCCCCTGGGCCCTTGCCCTGCACTACCACTATGGTGGCTACCCGGTGTGAGCTCCTCCAGGCTCCAGATCCTTCTGCCCGAGCTCTCTGCACAGTTCAGCAAGGCCCACGGCATGAGAGAGAAGAGGAAGAACACAGAGATGTCACAGAGACAGAGTCTCGGGGCACTGACCCCGTTCTAAAGCTCGAAGTCTCTCGACGACACCATAGTCCACCACCTCCCAGTCCTCAAGGGGCACCACGGCTCAGGGCAGGTGTCCATCATGTTCCTGCGGAGACTGGACAGCTGTGTTTCTTTTCTCTTTTTCTTGATTTTGAGGGGGAGAGAGTGAAAACCCAAGAGGTGGTCCCGGGGATCTGAGGATGGTGGGGGGTAGGAGGGTGTACCATGAACGTGAAGCGTGCATGTGAGGTGGACACTCAGACAACATGGCCGACATCGTTCACAATTCTAATGAGCTCCATTAACGGGGCACGGATCGCTCTGCTTCTCCTTACAGACAGTGAGTGACAGCTGTGAAATCCCCATCAAAGGTGTGAAGGTCACAGGCAAGCTCATCTCCTCTCTGCAGAGCTCCAAGACACCAGCAGTAAGCACCTCCAGCGACAGCAGGGTGGCTCATGGTCCCCCTCACCCCCCGCAGGGAGGCGACAACCATGCCAGGTGCAGCTTCTGCTTCAAAACCAGGTGTGCATCACACACAGAGCAGTGCTGGTGGGGGGATTCCCTCCGGTGACAGAGAAGCTTGAGTCCTCGCCCCTAACACCCGTAATGTGACCTCATCTGGAAACAGGGTCTTTACAGAGGTGACAACGATGAGGTCAGACGAGAGCAGGGTGGGCCCTACATCCAGGGACCACCGGCCCCGTGAGAAGAGTGCCATTGGACACGGACACAAGGACACTGGAAGAACGCCGCATGAGGACAGAGGCTCGGAACATACCAGTGGTCAGAGCCTCCAAGAGGAATGCACTGGTCAACACCGTCCTGTCGGGCTTCAGGTCTCCAGCATGGCAAAAGCATGCCGTCTGTGGTCACTTGCTATGACAGCCCTAGAACTCTGACACGCATGCACACACACACACAACTGAATGGGTATTTGCACAGAAATTGCATTCCTCAGATGACTTGGACGGAATCACTGGCTCCCCTCTGAGTTACCCACTTTTGCATTGCTCATTTACTCATTAAAAAACACACATAATATTTAAATCCATCCCTCATTTAAACTGCACCCTTAAAATCACTGAAATTGTGTTTGTCAACCCTCTGCTACAGGACTATCCGTGAGAACCTATCAGCCGTTTCAAACACAGCAGCTGTTCTCCTCGGAGGCCCAGCTACAACCCATCTGATGAAAAGTACATTCGGCCAAAAGTCCAGGTCATCCCGCACCGGTTTCTGCAGAAGAGAGAACTCTCCTGCAAAGAGAAAGCTGTCCCCACCGAAAAAGGCCAGCAATGTGAAGGTCGCACGGCGGTGGGTCAGAGTGGCGCTAAGGGACATTTGCATGCTAAGGAAATCAAGAAACAACTCTGAGAGGACAGGAGAGCTCTGGTGAGCCATGCATACTGGCCAATTCCATGGCCACCAGCAGCAGCAAGCTGGTGCCTGAAGTCACTGCCACACGCGGCCGGGGGCAGCCGGTCACTCCAACAGCTGCAGGAGGGAAGGAGGATGAGTTAGAAGAAATGAAGGGCTGCACAGCTTGCGGGACGTGCCCTCCCCCCAGGGTGGCACTGGAGACATCCGTCCTCAGCTTGCTGCCCCTAACCTGACCCTCTGTCTCTGCGAGTACTCGCAGGTGGGGCTGAGCTGTGATCAGCTTCTCCTGCCGCCCGCATGGCACACAAACCTGGGCGGAGATTTGCTATACTCCAAATCCAGAACATTCTGGGTGGAAGGCTTCTCAATGAAGAGGGCATATTTAATACGTCAATGTCATTCACATTTGACAACAACCAAGATCACTTTCCAGCTGCAGGGTCCCTGGCAGAGTTCCAGTTCCAGAAAGAACTCCAGTGTGGCCAGACAGTGAGAAAGCGAGGCTCCCGTCATTCACGCCCTTTCTGAAACAAACTGATTCTCCTGCTGCTACAAGACTCGCCCAGGCCAGGGGACAGGAAGTGGGAGTCAGCGCCCCAGCCTCCCCATAAGGCAAGGACATGGCCACCTGTCTGGTTCCAGGAAGGCAGGAGTGGACAGCCCCTGGGAAGCAAAGATTGCAGGGGAGGGGGTATGGGGTTCCCAAACGCACAGCGGCACCTGCCCACAGTTCCTTCTGCACCCAGAGGCCCCGATGCACGTCCACTCAGGCACACCTGGGGGCCCTACCCTGACCTGAGTCACACATGAGAGGACAGGCAGGTGGCCTGTCCCTGGAAGTAGAGAGAAAGGATCATGGATGGTCTTTCCCCTGATCCAGGACACTTTGGGCACAAGCCCCACTGTGGGGAATGAGACTTTGCAGATGAGGAAAGGGATGTCCTTTGGTGTGCTCATGCATGCTTCTACCCTATAAAATGGTGTATTTTTAAAACTGTATGCACTGCCATGAAATTTCAATAGAGTAAAATGTGTTAAACAATCAAAGAAGGGGGGTTCATGAGAGGCCACCGTTTGAGTCATCCCTCTAAGTATAATTTTTATCTGAAGTATGAACATTCAAGAAAAATGCCTTCATGCTCATCAAAATATAAGGGTCCCTTGAAAAGAAACCACAGCCCCAAATGCGATGGAAGAAACCAAAATCAGCACATGGGAAAACAGCAAAAGCCATATAACAACAACACAGCATCGCGGGGGGAAGAACCAGCGTCCGTGACTCGGGGGCTCCCACGCTGACTACACTAGACGCCAAACTGAACGCAGGAGGAGCCCAAGCACTGGCAGAAAACCAGGGGCCCAGACCCTGTCACCAGCGACCCCCGAGAATGCGTGCAGATTCACTCCACGAGGCGATCATGGGAGGTCAGGTTAGCCCGTCCCTCAACAGCTGGCCTCATCAACAATCCCTAACCCCAACAAAGACGCAGAAAGCCCAAGAAAAGAGCTCAGGCCCCCTCAGTGGAATCCAAAGGACTATGGCTAAAATCCACGCTCAGACACCAAGGAACAGACGCAACACCAGCACAGCCCAGGCACAGGTGCCAGGGAAGACGTCAGAAAGACCCAGGACCTTCTCTCCCCCAAACCCTGTCCAGATGGTACTTTTCCTAGCATCTGTATACGTTCTCCATCCATCAGATACGCGGGCTTCTCTTCAACTCCCAGCTAGAAACCTGTGCCTCTGAACTCCCTACACTCTCATGTCCATGTGGATAACAAAAAAGCGGACCTTTCCCTGAGGTGACCACCACGAGGCTTCGAGGACAGGTTTGCAAGACCCTGCAGAATGACGGCCGAGCCCCCAGAGAGCCCCAGGACGCCAGCCTTCCATGCTCTTCGGAATGGTTACACGGTCTCCAGGACAAGAGTTAAATACTAGAACAGGTGTTACAGGGAACATGAGAAGCTACTCAGGACTGCTGCTAAGAACACATCTAAGGGACAAAACAGGGTGAAATGTGTAACTTAAACAAAAGGATAAAATGAAACAGAATCAATGGCACACAGAACGAGGAGGGAGGGAACACTACAGTGCGAAGTCGAGCCTGTCCTCTCTCTTCAAACAAGACAAGCGCTGCCATGAAGGAAACGTATAGTTACCTGCATCCATATCTGCAAAGAATGGAACAGCCAGTAAGAAAAAGAAGGAACCAGAAATTCAGTGTCTCAGAGTTGGATTGTAAAAGGTTACATGGAGAGAAAATATCATTCAGAAAGCCGCCTGTGAACTCTACATTGATTAAAGACACAGGGACTGCGTGGCTTCCTGCCACTACCATAATTTCACTTAAAGCAAAAAATAAAATATGAATATGTTAACTGAAGAAGCAAAAGCCTAATGGCAAAAGAAATCTCTTACTCTCATGCAAAATGATTCTTACATGTTCATAATACAATATACGGGGGGATGTACTCTAACATGTGGTGGTCATGCGAGAGGCTCTGATCCAGGACCAGGTAACAGTACATACAAGTTACGGATAAACTCAATACCCAGATCAGAGGAATGTCCGAGCAGTATTTAAAGGGGGTGACACCGGACTGACATTTGAAACGCCAGGACTATTACGTAAGAAATAAATTTCTTATTGAAACAGCATTTCAAGACTTGACTCTACCATTCTAAATGCCAAAGTAAGTATAATCGGTTAGCTAAAAACACTACGGAAGAAACAACATACCTAAGGATCTTTACTGCTTGGCATTTTACTTTTTTCCGACATGTGATGATGCATCATCGTCACGATTCAGAGTATGCTACGGGAAAATCTAATAAACTAAACGCTCTGGAGCTTGAGACAGCCTGGCAGACAGCATACCTTCGGGAGACTCCTCCTGGACGTACGTGCCGGTCAGATATCGGTGCACCAGGGCCGACTTGCCGCTGGCCAAATTACCCACGATGCCCTGAAACACAGAATCGGACGACCATTCATTATCATTCCATCACTCTACTCGTCAGTCTGCAAACAGAGAGAGGTGAGCATGTACAGTAAGTCAAAGCCTGATGACACCCAAGCATCGGCAGGAAGTACCAAACCTGGCTCGTCAAACTCTCCTGAAGTCAAAGGGGTTCCTGAGCCCAGCTCCCCGCCTCCTATCCTCACCGGTCTCGCAGGCTCTGAGCGCGTGAGCGCCGTCTGAGCACACGCTGGTTGTGGTCGTGCTGGCACTGTGGGCAGCGGCACCACGGGCAGTGCGCACAGCAAGTCAGCCCATCAGCACTGACCGCACACCCTCACCATCCTGAGCGAGGTCCATGGGGTTCCATGGGGCCCGGCGCAGTCTGGACTCATATGGGGATGAGAAGGGTGTTCTAGTATATTCCACCAGGACTATGGCGTTGGTCCCAGAGCCCAGAGAGAGATCAACTAAAAAGAGCCACATGGAGGAAGAACCATGGGGGCTGCAGGGGCTGGGAGGAGAGGGGGAAGCCTGCTTCTCTGGAGCACGGGTCCGAGCAGTGGGACCAGGTTACAGGGCAGGGAGGGGCCTGCAGTGGAGGCGGCAAAGGTGTCTGGACTGGGTTAAAATGCCCATCCAGAGCGAGGAGGACCAAGGCTCCAGCCAGAACCAGCCGCATCTTACTCTCAGCGGGCAGTGTCGCCTGTGCAGCGCTTTCTTCGGGAAAAGCTCTTACCACAGCCCTGACACGTGGACCTGAAGGCGGCCAGACCCTCCCAGAGGGGGACCCTTGAAAACCTTCCTTCACCTATGCCGGGGACCTCACTCCCTCCACCTCCTCTGCAAGCCGCCCAGTGAGAACCCCCTTCTGTATATTTACCTTTCCCCTCCCCACCAGAACTTTCCTCTCTGCATTCAAGATGCCCAAATCAATTCTTTAAGAAAAACAAAACAAGAGCCCTGCCTCTGGACGCAGTCCCCTCCTATGAGAGCCAGGTCCCCTTCCCAGCAGAGCCAGGCTCTCAGCCACGCTCGTGCCCTCCCAGGCCTGTCCTCGACCCCTAAGATCTCAAGTGTTGAGCTGAGGGCTGCAAGGACGCTGCCCCTGAGGTCAGCAAGGACTATGTTTCTCGGAGCACTGGCCTTTCTCTTGCTCCTGACCCAGCCCACCGACAGAAGCTGGAGGTGAGCTGTGCTTTCTTCAAACTTTCTGCCCTGGGCTTCCTCCCTGAACTTCCTCTTGGCCCACACAAGATCCTTGCAGATCTCCTAGTTTCTTCTAGATGCTTGGTCCCCAGTGTGCCTGGCCACGTTCCTCCTACCCCCAGTAAGCTACTGATCCCAAATCTCCTCTAGCCGCCACCAGGAGAACCACTAAGTTCTCTGCATGCACCCCACATCATTTCTGCTGGTACTCAGACCCCAGCACGCCCAGACTTCATCACTCCCCCCAGTTTGTTTGTTCATCCATCTCTGTGGCCACACCCCACCCTGCCTCTCAAACCAGAAACATGGAAGTCATCCCAGATTCTCACCCTTCCTGGCCATGGAGCCCCTGTACCCAGGAGTACCTTCCTCGTACTCCCTGGGAGTACTCCTGGGGCAGGTCTGCTGTCCACTGGATCACAAGGGCAGATGTTAGCTGGCCTCTCTGCATACAGACTCCCCTCCTCACCGCTAGAGTACCAAAGAGACTCCTGGAAACTGTCTCGTCCTGAGAGGCCTTGCTGTCTCCAGACACCTGGACCTTCTCACATCCATCACTTCCTGAAATGCTGCTCCTGCTCACGGGTCAGCAAGCAGTTCAGATGCCACCTCCTCTGAGAAAACTTCCTAACGCACAGCCTCAACTGGGCACCTCTCCTAAAACCCCGCTTCGTGCCCTCCTCACGATGCTGTCTCCTGACCTTTACCTTACCAGTATCGCTGTATGGGTCTGACCAGCGATGCTGACGAGTCTCAATGGGCAGGGTTAGGGTCACCTTGTCTCTGGGTCCCAGTGTCACCCCAGCAAGGACAGCCTCCCACCAGCCCTGGACGCGCTAACGAGCCAATGCGTGAATGACCAAGCATGAGTACAAACAGAGAGGCTTTGCTGCGGAGGCGCAATGCCAGGCGACATGGACAGATCCTAAATGAAGCCGTCTCCCTTCCCGGGGGGACTCATGTCTTCCTTTTACCTGCGGCCTCTATAATCTGAGTTTCTACCTATTAATTATTCTTTTGCTCCAGGGCACCCGCTGTTTGTCAGCTTCATGCTGAGAAAATCCAAACCAGTATGCCACAGAATTAAATTTTTAATTAAGATTAGAGCATCTCTTTCCCGAGGAGGAAAATGCTCAGACTCCAGCACTGCTTGGCCTGTGTATCTGCATGGGCAGCGTCCATTCCGCACACACCGATGCTCTGTGGAGAAGTGGGCCTTCAGGAGGAGTGAATCCGTCAGTCCTAGTGGTAGCAGGGGAAGGCCTGAGCTCCGGTCTGCACGGCCGCCTCACAGACTGTCTTATATTCAGCCCCACAGGCCTTATGCTAGTCTCAAAGACCGGCAGAAACTACCCGCCAGCTGGAAGGAGGAATACAATGAGGCACAGAAATGTTCTTTAGGCTGTAAAGCTCCACTGAGACCTGTGAGAGCTACTGGGTATAAAAAAGTGAGAATGGACCAGCCTGTCCATCGTCTACCAGCTTCGTGGGAGGATGCGTGGGACCAGAGTCTGGAAAATCACATATGGGCCCGCCAACGTTCGGTGGCCAGAGGCAGTCACCGTCCCAGGATCGCAGGCCATGTCCTCGGGGTGAGGCCGAGAAGCATCAGGGCCCCTGCTCGCATCCTCATGCCACACGGGGGAAAGGAGTGCCCTCTCCTTTCAGACTGCTTTCCCTGTCGTCCTCACCTCACCACTTACCTGCTATGCATGCAGTCTGCTGAAAAGAAAGCCAAGGCTGTCTGTAAAAATCCCAGTGAACTCAGTGAAAACCCACACGTGGGCTGTGACCCGAGGCTCCCCTTACAGGCAGGACATGGAGGGTGGCTCTGCTCGCCCAGACACCATCACCGAGCACCCGCCGCCCAAGAGGGGCATCCCGGTCCAAGAGCCACTGGTCACCGATGATCTCATCACGGCATGCCTTCAGAAAACATAAGGCATGGTCCCACCACTCTTGAAAGAACACGAATGCCGAGATTTCTCCTCTGACAGATTCCAGAAGATTTATCGCAAACATAAAGAGCCCACTTGAGGCTTGTGATTATGTCATGCGCCCATTGCATTTGCGACAGAGTCAGGGATTCCGAAGGCGCTGACCTAAGGGGCCACCTGTCTCGGGGGTGGGGTGTCAAACAATGGCAGCTCACAGGCTGTCTGGGAACAAAGGAGCACTTTCTGCAGAAGCTGAGAAGTCCTCGGCGCCGAAGGGGGACCTGCTGGGGCAGGCAGGGAGGAAGAGCCGCCCGCCCTTCCGCAGTCGGTGGGGGTCCATCCATCCACACGCAGGTCGGGGCCACAACAAACAGCTTCCTCCGCACAAATGCGGAACCACGTTTCTGCATCCATGGGACGTGGCAGACCCTTCAGCACGTGTGCAAATCTCAAGACCGTTACGTGTGGGGAACACAAATCCACGCCACCTTTTCATGGACTCACCTCCCACCCCTCTGAGCATTCCTCCAGGAAATGACACGCTTCTGAAATACCCGCAGAAGACCAGTATTCAGTAGTGAGCACCCTCAGTCACGGCTGGTCTGCACATGTGGCTGGTGGCGGAGCCCCTGACAAACTACCAAGCTTGGGTCCGAATCACAGGGTTGGATACTCAACTGTCACAGACTGGAATACCGTCAGAAGGGGAACCCCTGGCCTCTTGCGGCTCGTTCAAATTCAGTTCATTAAACTTAAACGAAAGTTTCATACTCAGCTCCTCGGCTGCACTGGCCGCCCTTCAAGCGCTTGGCGGCCGCGTGGGGCCAACAGCTGGCGGCCTGGGCGGCGAGACAGAGGAGGCTCCCCGGGCGCAGGAAGCTCCGGCAGCAGTGCTGACGCAGGAACACCAGGCACAGGTTCAAGTCCCAGCTCTGCCGCTCGCTGACTGCGGCTTGCGGGGGAGTTCCCAGGACGCTGAGGGTACTTCCTCCTCCTGAAAACGGGGGTAACAGCAGGACGTGGCTCACCGGCAGCGGAAGTGAGGTGCTCCTGTGACACAATCACAACCCGCCGTGCACAGTGGCCGTGGTCCACGGCCTCATCACAACGCCGCGCCCGCTGTTCTGCTCTGACTGCAGGGCAGAAAGGCGCCTCAGCGGTTTGAGTTTGAGGCAGTATCTGCAACCAGTAAATCTTCCCGCAAAGCTCCTAGTAACAGTGTTGCCAACTCTGTAGCATTCATTCAACAGGCGTTTCCTTTTTTTTTTTAATTATGACACCATACAGTACGTAATTAGTTTTTGATGTAGTGTTCCGTGATTCATTGTCTGCATATAACACCCAGTGCTCCATGCAATCCATGCTCTCCTTAATACCCATCACCCTCCCCTCTGAAACCCTCAAGTTTGTTTCCCGGAGTTGAGAGTCTCTTATGCTTCATCTCCCCCTCCAATTTCTCCCTCTTCCTTTTTCCCTTCCTTCTCCCAATGTCCTTCATGATATTTCTTACGCTGCACAAGTAAGTGAAACCATAGGATAACTGGCTTCCTCTGCTTGACTTATTTCACTCAGCATAATCTCCTCCAGGCCATCCATGTTGATGCAAAAGCTGGGTATTCATCCCTTCTGATGGCTGAGTAATATTTCATTGTGTGCATGGACCACATCTTCATTATCCCTTCTCAACAGGCGTTTCCTGAAGGTGCCCACCTGACAGAATCAATCCTGTGCCAGGACAGCACAAAACACGAAGGAAAGAAGTGGCTGTCTCGAGGCCAGTCGTGCAGAACCCCGGCTTCGGGCAGGGCCACAGGACCAGAAGACCCCATATCTCCCATGAGGAACGGAGCCTCCAGCAATGCTGCAGGGAAAGGTCAGGGTTCTGGCAGAGAAAGGTCAGGGTTCTGGCAGGAAGGGCGAGGAGAAACAGGAAGGAGGCCCCGACAAGACATGCGGTGAGGGCAGTGGGATGGGCACATCAGACAGGACAGGAGGGCCTGATGACCACACCTGCAGATCCCAGAGTCTCTTCCCACGTCATCCTTTATTTCTTAGGTTTAAAAACATGTTTTTTCTGGTGACCGAAGTCACATATATTCTCTTCAAAGCTGGATGTTCCTTGTGGCTCCACCTCCTCTTCTCAGAGGTGAGAAACCTGAAGTCTGGCCCCTACGCCGGGTCACCCACAAAACACCAGAGGCTGCAGCTGGGGGTGGGGGCAGGGAGGGCTACTGGCAGAAAGGCCAGAGAGGCTAACAGCAACACGAACCTCGGGAGAAGGGGCTCATGCAGGGGAAAGGCTGTGTACGCACAGAGATAGGCGGGGGGCTGGGGAGAACTGAGCAGGCTTGTGTGCAAGTCACTGGCAGAAGGAAACAAGGGTGGCCTGTCTGCCTGCGTCCTACGGTCAGGGCGCGCCAAAATACACACACACGCCATACACAAGTATACATACAAATATGCACACAATGTACACACATGTATAAACACAATGCACACACGCCACACATATGCACTGCACATGTACACACATGTATAAACACAATGCACACACGCCACAAAGTGTGCACACACGTGTACAGATGCCACACATCGATACACACGTGTAAACACATGTGTACACACATGTATGCATACCACACACAAGTATACACACATGTATACACACCACAGAAGTATACACATATACACACATAAATATATATACGTATGCACCACATACACACACCATATACAAGCACACCTACAGACATAAATATACACACCATAAATATACACACATGCATGTGCATATATACATGTATATATGTAAGCACACAAACAAATACACACCTACTTATGCATATAAATGCACACACGTGTAGGCACACATATGTACACACCATAAATATGCATATACACATACACACATATACATGTAAACACACACATCAAATATACATTTTGCATATAAATATATACACGCACACATATATGCATAGCACACATATACATATAAGCACATACATCACACACATATGCACACATAAATACACACACGTAAATGTGTGTACATACATATACATATAAATACACACATACACATTTCTCCCAAATGCCACTGACATCATGACAAAGAACACGTTTACTTAAAAGTCATACTGGTCCCTTCCTTCCACCCTAAGCCAGCGGACAGGCAGTGGAGATGTGCTCAAGGGTGTGGTTGCAATAGACCCAAGTCATTTTTTATATAAGGCAACTTGAAGCTTTAAATAATCTCACTGGAAGAGTATTTAAACTTTTTAATAAAAACGAAATCTTTTATGTTATTACTATGTAACATGCTAAGAGACCAGTCACATTTTTTAAATGATGAATTCCAAAGCTTGACAGCTCATCACAGAAACCTTCCATAGCATCTTGGCAAAGGATAAAGCCAGACACATCTGTGCGTGTATGTGTGACTCTGTCTCTCACACAAGCCCACAGACACGAGAGAGAAAATGGCGGATGGACCCTGCCTGGCATGAACAGGGCCATGCTGGTGGGCTGGCTGGCGAGGCCATCCTGGGCATACTCAGGGCTCCGGTCCCAAACTGTCAGCTACACCTGGTCCTTCCCAGGGACACACCCACGTCAAAGCCCCAGGGATAGCCGGGCCCTCTCGAATGCAGGCCTGGGTGTGCGCAGGCCACCTCCCACCCCTTACAGAGGCCCACCTCCTGCAGGGCAGGAACCACAACCAGAGGCCAAAAGGACCACTCACCACTTTGAGCTCCGGCACAGATCGACTTAACGTCCATTCCTGGCTATTCACAAAGGCATCTGTAAAACAGGTCGTAAAGCAAAGTCAGACACCACAGCTCACTTCAGTGCAGTCAGAATGCCCCAGAGTGCCACTTCCCAGACCAGGAAAACACCAAGGATGGTGGAGACGCCCCCCCGCCCAACATGTTCCTCCTACCCCATTCCTATCCCAAGTCTGGGTCTGTCTCCTAAACCAGGATATACACTCCGTCCAGCAACACCAAGGGACCTCGGGAACTCCACTTGTCCCCACCTCAGACATCCCCGCCTGAGCCCCACCAGCCCGCGTTGTCCAGGGGGTGAGCTAGGACCCTCGTGATCCTGCACATTCGCAGGCAGGACGATCAAGGAGGCCCCTGGCTTCCCGGGAACTGACCCCGTAGCTGTCAGTCAACTTCTGGTTTCTCAGTTTGTCACTAAGAGCGTCTCGTCTGAAAATCCACCAACAGAGTCGCAGAGGGAATGAGTTTTGAAAATCCCAATATTCCCCACACAACAGCCACTTATGGTTCAGGAGACTTAGTGGAACTCTGATGCTCACACACACATGATACATTGAAGATGCGGTCAGGACGGGAAGACCTGCCAGAAAGATGGGGGAGGGGGCACCCAGCCACCTTGAGGTGCTCTGCAGAGCCCAGGCCCATCCCAGCCAGCAGGCTCGTGATGCCCACCTTTACCGGACGGCCGTCTCTGCCCCTCACCTCATATGTGTGGGTCAGGTGGGCCCACCCAATTCAGATAACCCCACAACCCAATTCCCCACACCTCCCGCTCACCCCTTCTCATCAGGGAGACCCCACAACACTAGTACAACACTAGTACAACAAGTACTAGGCACTTAGGAAGACAGAGCCGAGCTCACAAAGACGTGGCCACCTGCTCCCACCACAACCAGCCCAGGGCCAACACCTCTCATTCCAAATGGGATTCCCTTGCTATCTCTTTCCCACAAATTCAGAAATTTCATCACGCCGCGTTACGTCAAGAAGAAGTGAAGTGATTCACAAAAGTCAAGGAATGCCCATCATTTACAAAGAAATACATGATGTTCTAGATCACAGGGTCAGGAATGGAAGCAAAGGGCATGACCGTGCAGTTCCACTGGGGCCATCCCATGGAAGGATGAGAAACATGTCTGAAGGAAGCAAGGTGAGCACGATCCACGGGGATGCAGAAATGAGCTCCTGGGCCCTGTAGAGGGGCATGGGAGGTGCCCAGCACAGAGGACTCTGCTGCTTAGGATGGGTCAGGGGTTTGGGAGAAGACAGAAGGCCGTTAGCAGCCAGGGCAGAGGCACAGCTGATGCGGACATGTCTGGTCACCTCGAAACCTTGGCTGCAGAAGGGACTGGTGCTGAACGTCAAACAGTCTGTGCTCTGGGGAGCCGAGGGTCTGGCTGGTGGGTGGAGCTGGTGGGCAGAGGGGCGTCGGCAGGAACGCAGGAAGAAAGACCAAGAGTAGAAGCAAAGACCAAGAGTAGCTTTTGCCCCCCACTGAAGCCAGCAGGCTGGGGGCTGTCGGGAGCACCCGCTCTTCAGTAAGCCCAGCAGCCCCTGCTTTGCCACAGATATGATGTTACATGTAAACAGTAAACAGGGACGCTGTCAGCAGGGAGCCTGAGCCCCGGTAGGAATGGGGCAATGGTAACAAACATCCTTCCTAGTGAATGGCATTGCGAATTAAGTCGCCAAAACACTTATTTTCTGTCACCAACGGCTCTCTTGGGGAAAAAATAGGAACGTGGCCTTATATGATCTGCAGGGTGACCCCAGTGACCCGGGGAAGTCAGACACTGCGTCGCTTCCACCAGGAATTTTGGGTTTTGGCTTGCCTGTATTTTTTTTAAAGATTTTATTTACTCATTTGTCAGAGAGAGAGAGAGCATGCGAGCACAAGCAGGGGAGCAGCAGGCAGAGGCAGAGTGAGAAGCAGGCTCCCCGCTGAGCAGGGGATCATGACCTGAGCCAAAGGCAGAGCTTAACCCACAGAGCCCCCAAGGCGTCCCAAACCTGTATTTTTTCCCAATCAACTGTCATCAGTTTTAACAGTCTCTTTAGGCAATAAAATAAAAGAAAGGGGGTCTGTGGCCAGACTGTTTTCCCAAGAATGAGGGAGGCGGCTTGAGACTTGTGCATATGGATACTACTACCGAGGTTCATTCCCATCTGGGTCTCCCGCACTCCTGAGTATAGAGGTCACTGAATGTTCAGCGTGTCCACGGACAGTGGCTTCGGGGCTGGAGCATGGAAAATGCTGGTCCTGGCACTGCCTGGTTGCCTGCAATCCTCCTGGCACCCTCATGGGGAGTGGTGCCCGTGGCACTGTGGTCAGCCCTCCTCGGTACCCCTAAACTCCTGCTCGTCCTTCTGAGGGCGACTAGACTCCGGACTCTCCAGCTCTGAGCCCACACTGCTGGTGTGGTGGAACGTGGGGATCACACAGACACTGAGTTCAAAGTCCCCTACCTCCCCTTCCTCCAGAGAGGCCCCCCTCCTTTAAGGAAAGCGCAGAGAGGCCAGCGGTGCCCCAGGACCCGCGTCCATGTAGCTTCTTCCTCCTGAGGTACTGGGCTGGCCCGCCAGGTCTACTGACCTGAAGGCTGAGTCCAACTCCAGCTCAGATAACATCGAAATGTAAACAAGGGGCTCCATTCACATGGCAGAGAAAGGAGCCCTCATTTGTAGCTGCCCCGCTCTCCTGGTCCCAAGAGCAGCCTGCCTCGATGGCCTGACCGCAGCCCGATTACAGCACAACAGCACGCACCCCACTTGGGGCTGAAACACACAGATGGACAGACCCTCTCCAGCGGATGCACAAAGACCCTCAGTGGGTCTCAGGAGAGCATCCTCAGTGGTTGCCCACACCCCTTGCCCCAGGCATCCCAAAGTCCGTCCTTGTTCTTTTAGAGGAGGCACTGCTACAGAAAACTCAATCTCAGAGAAAAGCTCCTCTCCCCAGAGTACAAGCTGCTTTTCTAAGAAAAGCACTAGAGAAAAGCAAAGGGACAGGGAGGCTGTTTTTCCAGAACCCTCCCTTCCAGGGCCACCTCCGGCCACACACTGAGACAAGACTCTGGACCCCAAGGAATGCAAACACCTACTAATGCTGACAGGTAGGAGGACGGACCTAAGGTCGGGGCCTGGGAGTACAGGAAGAAACAAGAAGAAAACAAAAGCGAGGCTATCCAATTTAATTTAATTTTTACTCTAAGAAGAACAGTATTGTTTCCCTTGCCTGGATATTCTTGAAATTCGTTGTGACTCCTAATTCCCTTCATTCTCCGCTTGCTACTAACACTAATTGAGGAACTTGGCTCTAGATTTGCCCTCAAAAATATTCCTGTGTGAACCACAAGTGTACCCAGGAAATTTAAGGCCCTCATTACACGACACACACAAAACACGCTCCAGCCTGTAAGCCAGAAATGTTCCCCTTTGGCAACCCCCCACCCCTCCATGTGCCAAAGAGCAGAAGTGGAGGCATGACGGGACACAGACGGGTAGGCGGGGGTACACCGGTCATCTACCTCCCAGTGGTGGGAACACACATGAAGACAGGCCCAGCAAACACACGGACGTCAGAAAACCTGTTTCTGCCTTCATGCCCTTGTATTCTCTATCATTCCAGCACGACTCGTGCACGCTCTGGATATATTAAAGGCAGAAATTCAAGTCTTGAAACTGACAGAATTTTGCAAACTAGCTGAAAATTACACCTTATCCTTCAACATTAACCTCCGAGTTAATTTAAATGCAGGGCATGAGGATTAACCTCTTGGTTCCAGCAATAACCCGGAATGCCAGGGGTAAGATCGACCAATGAAAAGACCTCTTCATTATGTCCCCTTTCTGCCCGGCCTGCACCAACCAGGTATACTTTGACATCAGAAAAGCATCAAGGGGGGGCACCTGGGTGGCTCAGTGGGTTAAAGCCTCTGCTTTCGGCTCTGGTCATGATCTCAGGGTCCTGGGATCAAGCCCCGCATCGGGCTCTCTGCTCAGCGGGGAGCCTGTTTTCCCCTCTCTCTCTGTCTGCCTCTCTGCCTACTTGTGATCTCTTCTCTCTCTGTCAAATAAATAAATAAAATCTTAAAAAAAAAAAAAAAAAAGGAAAGAAAAGCATCAAGGGGCATCTGTGTGGCTCAGTGGGTTAAAGCCTCTGCCTTCGGCTCAGGTCATGATCCCAGGACCCTGGATGGAGCCCCGCATCGCATTGGGCTCTCTGCTCAGCAGGAAGCCGGCTTCCCCCTCTCTCTGCCTGCCTCTCTGCCTCCTTGTGATTTCTGTCTGCCAAATAAATAAATAAATAAATCTTTAAAAAAAAAAAAAAAGAAAGAAAGAAAGAAAAGCATTGAGCTGGAGAGTGACTTCCTTCCTGCTGAAAATAAGCACTCTCTAAGAATAAACACTCGAATCCACTGGCATAACAGTAAATCTCAGTTAAAATAATTAAGGATAATCTTATTAGCATATCCGGTGGGGGAAGCTAAAGTTAAAAAGGGATATATTTTGTCTTCTCCTGTCCTCTTACCCCCTCACCCCTGCCATTGACTCGATATCCTCTCAGCCCAAACACCAGTGGGAAAGACTTCCCAGGAGCACAAAAATTATGAGTACAAGCACATGTCTTCTTTATAAAATGCAATTAAATTTCTTTGCTATCCAGGCAAACAGTGCAATTTTCCCATCACAACTAATTTGGTTTGGAGACAAATAATTTCAGTAATTAAAAAAAAAAAAAAAAAGAAAGAAAGAAAATTGCCCAGAGTACATGTGACTTCAGCATAGTCTGTTTAATGAGCAGAAATAAGTCCATACATAATACCGAATGGAGCACACAGAGAAAACAGAGGAGAGAGCTGCACTCATGTTTTGTGACCGAGCACGTGTCCCTGAAGATGGTCTCCAGAGCATGTACAACCCCTGTGCTTGGTAAACACCACAGCAGTTGGTGGCTGGGTTTTCCCTGCTCCTGGGAGCATCAAGCAAATGTCACATCCACACCAGCAGATTCTA